TCGACCCCACTTTTCTTTTCTTTCTTTTTTTTTTTTTTTGAGATGGAGTCTCACTCTGTCACCCAGGCTGGAGTGCAGTGGTGCCATCTCGGCTCACTGCAAGCTCCGCCTCCCGGGTTCACACCATTCTCCCGCCTCAGCCTCCTGAGGATCTGGGACTACAGGCGCCTGCCACCACGCCCGGCTAATTTCTCTTGTATTTTTAGTAGAGTCGGGGTTTCACCGTGTTAGTCGGGATGGTCTCGATCCCCTGACCTCGTGATCCGTCTGCCTCGGCCTCCCAAAGTGCTGGGATGACAGGCGTGAGCCACTGTGCCCAGCCTCAACCCCCTTTTCTTAAAGCCAAGTTGAGCCGGGTTTCTGCTACTTGCCATTCCTGGAGGTTGGGAAGTTCAAGGACCCTGTGGAAAACCCCAGCGTCTCCCTGGGAAGCTGGGCCCTGATATGAACGTGGGACAGCCTCTGGGAAGTGTCCCCTGGAGCCTGGGGCAGGGCTGGGCCAAGGGCAGGGGTGAGAGGGCTGAAGACTCACAAGCTCTTCCCACCTGGATTCCACCTAGGGCACCATCGGGAGGCCAATGGGGTCATATGGGGACACACGCAGATCCTGCAGCAGAGCTTCCAGGTTGTTCCTCAGCACGGCGTAGGGCGGCTTCTCCTCGTACTTGAGGGCCATCACGACCTTCAGGTAATTCTGCAGGGTCTCTGTGGTCAAGACAACCCCCAGCAAGGGAGAGCCTGAGAGGCGTCCCCCAACCTCGATCCTGGGGGTCTGTGCCCAAGGGTGGGGGGTAGGGGACTGATGGGCATGAGGGTCTCAGCAAAAGTGCCCATTTGCTTGGTGCCTGGCATTGCCAGGGGACTTCCATTTTTTTTTCAGTTTTGGAAAACGTCATACACAGGCACCTGGAGAAGGGCATGAACACCCAAGTATCCATCACTCAGTTTCCACAATGATCACCTCACAGCCAATCGCGTTTCATCAAGACCCCTCCCCTGGCCCGCAGTGTTTCAATGCAGATCCCAGCTAGCAGTGCAGTCTCCCTGCACATAAATATTGAGCATGTGTCTTTAAAGAGGCGGGCCCTGCCTCAGCTCCAGCTCCAACCTCTGGTGGAGCAGCTTAAACATCCTTGAGGCCCAAGGTTTACAGAGGGAGAACTGGAGGGGAGTGCTTGGCAGCTGAGCCATGATCTGAACCCAGGGATTTAAAGTAATTCAAAAATGAGCCTTAGAGAGCCAGAGGGGACACGCTATCCGTTTCTGTCTGTCCATTTCTGCCTCCAGCTTAGAGAAAAGCATCAAAGCTGTTCAGGAGGGGCACAAAGACAACAGCAGCAACAAACACCCCCACACCCAAACGAGACAGTGCAAATACCCAGTGACAGGGACGAGTGACAGGGACTGGCTTTATAAGCTATGGTGCGGCCAAACCATGTCCACTGTGCAGCTGTCAATAAAACCTGTGGTGCATCTATAAAAGAAGGGCATGAAGGACGGCCCCAGGGTTAAGGGAAAAAAGCAAGAGGTAGAATGAGATGTATGTAGGGTGAGCCCATTTTTTGTTCATAAAAATGGCTGGGCATGGTGGCTCATGCCTGTAATCCCAGCACTTTGGGAGGCCAAGGTGGTAGATCAGTTGAGGCCAGGGGTTCGAGACCAGCCTGGGCAACACGGTGAAACCCCGTCTCTACTAAAAATACAAAAAACTAGCCAGGTATGGGGATGCACGCCTGTAATCCCAGCTACTTGGGAGGCTGAGGCACGAGAATTGCTTGAACCCGGGAGGCGGAGAATGCAGTGAGCCGAGATCGCACCACCGCACTCCAGCCTGGGTGACAGAGCTAGACCCTGTCTTAAAAAAAAAAAAAAATTACCCTGTCCTCAAAAAACACTTGTGTGTTTTTGTTTTGTTGTTGTTCACAGGCACTTGTGAATGTTTTGACAATTTTTGTCTTTCTACAATGGGTACATATTACAAATGCAATTTGGAAAACTAAAAAAAAGGAAGAGGTATAAGGAGAGGCCACTCCAAGATGGATCTGAGCCACCAGGTCCCGCCCAGGTCCCTGCCTGTTCCCGCTCCCTTCAGGACGTACCTGAGGGTCTGATCCAATGACCGCAGGGTCCCACAAAGGGCCCCGGCTTATCAGTAAACCTGAAGGGACAGAAGCACATGTGAAAGGTCTTATCAGTAAACCTGAAGGGACAGAAGCACATGTGAAAGGGAAAGGAGAGCAACCTTTTAAAACAGAATGCCTAAGATATATACACAGCCTAAGATATATACACAGCCTAAGATATACACACAGCCTAAGATATATACACAGTCCCCTCTGCCATCCAGGGAAGTTAAGTTCTTAAAGCCACTGTGAACACTGAATCAACCAACCTACTACCATTGCTCCCAGGGGAAACAGCAGTGGCCTCCTGCAAGCCTCCGGCCATATCATTTTCCCCAATCAATACACCTTGTTTTATGTATGTTTCTTTTGAAAGACATCTTATGTAATAAGCATTGTTGATTCATTAGCACTGAACTCTGTTTTAACCTGGGATCTTTAAGATGGAGAGGATTCCTTCGACGATGAGGAAAGATCCAAGATGAAAATAAAGATTTTATTACTTACAGGTCCTGGGGGCACACGACACACCCAAAGGTGACCTCCCCCCGTCCCACGCGCGCACACACACACACACACACAGACACACACACACACACAGACACACACACACACACACAAGTCAGGGAGCTCGTGGTTGCGTGAGGGACCAATGGGTGGTATCCAAACATTTTGAGGGGATTTTAACTGGTGGGTTCAAAGCAAGCAGGCTCGAGTTCCTGGAGGTCACGCTGTGCCTGAGAGGGGGTCACTGTGGCATCTGCACAGTTCAGTGGGATGTGGTCAGCGGGGCCGTCAAGTAGGCTGTCTGTGGCTGACCCATAGGGAGGGAAGTGTTCCCCCGGAGGCGGCTGCATAAGGGAAATATCTGGGTCAACCACACGGAGGAACTGGGAGGAGGTGGAAAACTGGAAACTGTGCTGAGGGTGACCGAGCCCTGCTTCTGGCATGAGAAAGTCCAACTTACATTCAAATGAATGCCAAGGCAACCTGAAATGATAAGAATTTCCCACAAACTCACGGCCAACAGCACCGTAGCTCATGCCTGAACAAAGCTGAAACAACACACGAATTATTAACCATCTCGGGCTTCGGGACATCAGACAACACTTCAGCATTATGCTAGGTGGCTGTTTGATTTTTTGTAGAGACGGGTTCTCACTATGTTGCCCAGGCTGCTCTGATCCTCCTGTCTTGGCCTCCCAAAGTGCTGGGATTACAGGTGTGAACCACCACGCCTGGCTGAGGCCATTTTAAATGGCATAATCGCTGACAAAAAGCATAAAAACAGGAAAAAATGTAGCATTAACTGAACAGTGAAAAGGACACTGGCGTATATAGCGCAGGCGCTGAAACAGGGAGGCAGAATGCTCTCTGGCTCCTCCCTAGGCTGGGAACATGTGTGTCAGGTGATTAAAATTTTTCTCCACACTATGTGTCCGCAAGTGGCCACGAAAGAACTGTAAGAATTGATTTGGGGTTACAAATACTTTTAGTGAGTAGGAGAATTCACACATATGGACTCTGAATAATCAGGACTAACTGTATATGTACATACACACACATACACATATATGTATAACACACACACACGTGCATGCACGTGCACCCCTCTTTGGCTGTTCAGGAAAAATCCTGATTCACCCACTGCCTTTGCTTTATCCCCCAGCCCCACCCTCCTGCTCCTCAAATCCCTCTGCCCCATGGATCTGGGCCCATCTCAGGCCTCATCCCTTTTCCCTGGACCTCAACTCCTCCCTGGCCTCCTGTGCATCTCCACGTGGCCCCAGAGGGTCTCTTTACACCTGTCCCTGACCCTCCCTGCTCACAGCCCACCCTGCCTCCCGTGGCTCTCCAGCACACACTGGCCACCCTCTAGCTCCATCTCTCCACTCCCTTCTCCCATCGCATGTCCCATCCACACCAAAGGACTCCTTGTCCCACCAGGCCACACATCCACACACATCTGCCTCTGCACACATCACTCTCGCTGCCTGGGCGGCCTTCCCCACCCTGAGCTCTGGCAGGTGGCTGTTCTCCCTTTGAGATACAGCTCGAGGGTCTGGCCTCCTAGGAAGTCTTCCCCAGATCCCTCCAGGCAGAGGAACTCCGTCCCTCCTGGGCCTGTGTGTAGGTTCGCGGATGTCCCACGGCAGCCATCGACATACAAGCGCAGGAAGGCCCGGTTGTGCCATCGACAGGATGTTACACGCTGCACAGCAACGCCACTGCCACCACCTGCCGCGGGCTCTCCCTGACCAGCTGGGGAGCCCTGAGAGCGGGTCCAAAGCTGGCTTTCATTTGTGCTTTGCCCAGCAATGGGCCTTGAATGCCAGAAAGCCTCAGGGACTCAAACTGCCTCTCCTCCTTCTTTTACTCGTGCTGCCTGTTGTGAACTATAATGTGCAAAAAGTGAGTATCTGTTGAATGAATGGAAAAAGGCCACGTATACCAGTAAAACGTCCTAGCACAGGGCACCTTAGGGTGCCAGGAAACGAGCATGTAGCAACATCGCCCCCTTGTGGTCCCCTTGGCTATGGTCTGGGCTAAGAGACGCTGGGCTGGGGGTGAGGAGGGGTGTCTGGAGGACAGTGTCAACATCACCAGCTACTCTCCAGGGAGCATTTTCGTGCGCCTGGCCCTCTAAGGTTGTGGTCTGGAGCAGGGGCTGTGGAATTACTGTTATCCATGCTGCTATCATTGATACGAGATGATTACCGTGACCTCTTATTCACCCTGCACCATGTCGACGAGTGCAGGCCCTCTCTGTGAACCCGTCACGTTCATCAAGTCTCTTTAGGTGAGGGGATGTGAAAAGGGTGACGTGACTGCTCTTAGGAGTTCGGAAGTGGAGTGGGGAGAAGACTCAACCCAGGGGAGCCTCGGGGACTGGCTTCCCTGACAAGATCGGAGTGCAGAGGCACCGTGGGCTGATTCTAACCTGGGTGTCCAGCACAGCCACTGGCCTCAGGAACCTGGCACTAAATGCATGAGTGGAGAGGGTGCAGAGCTGTGCTGTCCTGTCTGCCTAGGAATTCTGCCTCCCCCTTGCCCACCTGGGAAGCTCTTGTGTTCCCTACAGACCAGCCCAGGCATCTCCCAGGTGAGGGTTTCCAGGAGCCGGCGGCGGGGTCCTGTGCCTCCCCTCTGCTCCCACAGTGCCGGGCTACCTCCACCCTCACCTGAAGCTCCTGCTTCCTGTTCATGTCTGCCCCCAGCCCTGGAACCCCTGACACTGGGCCTGCGTCTGCCTGACCTCTGTGTCCACAATGAAGCCTGGGCGGGCTCAGCATTCACTCCTTAGTTGTTCTTCATTCCACTATGATTTTTCCTTTGAGACAGGGTCTCACTCTGTTGCCCAGGTTGGAGCGCAGCGACACAATCACAGCTCACTGCAGCCTCCACCTCCTTGGACTCAAGTGATCCTTCCACCTCAGCATCCTGAGTAGCTGGGACTACAGGCATGTGCTACCACACTCGGCTACAGTTTTTGTAGAGATGGGGTCTCATCATGTTGTCCAGGCTGGTCTCAAACTCCTGGGCTCAAGCAATCTGCCCGCCTAAGCTTCCAAAGTGCTGGGATAAAAGGCATGAGCCACTGTGCCAGATCCGCCCCTATTTCTTGGGCACCCACAATGTGTGCTCTCTGTTGCATCCAGAGGAGGATGTGTGTGTGTCACAGGGAATTGAGGCACTGCTACTGCCCTCAGTCTCCTGTCTTGGGACTGTCAGTTAGAGATGTGAACCCTCCCTCATAGAAGCTGCAGTGTTTTGGGGTCTCCTCGTGAGAGCAGCTCAGCCTTGTCCTGAGCTAACCCATCAGAGTGTGTGAGGGAGCATTTCACTACCTTCACTCACACGGGGACTCCAGCGGGCTGCTCATTCTGTGACTCATCGTTTTCACCTGGCTTCATTTCAAAAGACACCTTTGTCTCACTAGTGTGAGCAGAAAACCCCAGCACCATGCGTTAAAGCTAGGGGGTAAGTGTGAAAACAAGCTCCAAGAAAATGGGGCAATGGACTTGTCTAGCGGGTTCTGAGGCTGGCTTCCCATGCAGAGGTTGCCTGCGGGAAGTCTGGGGGCTGAAGGCCTCTCTGTCCCTGCCTCTTTCTGCAGGGATGTTGGGGCAAATTAGCACCAAACTGTGTGTGATATCCTTCTTGCCACTGTTTAAAGCCTCATGGTCCTTCAGGGGGCAATTTACCTGTTACCATCGCCGTGAGACCTGCCCCCGGCATCACACCTAAAAGTGTGCTGCACACCCCCACCAACAGTCCCACCAGTGGACACCCAGGACCTGGCCCCAGGATCCCCATCAGTCTGACCTCTGACACACCGTGTGTTTCACCCTTTAGCTCCTGTCTCCCCCAACAGGATGTGAGCTCCCTGAGGGCAGGGATTTTTGTCTTACTCGCTCCTGTATCCGCAGGGCCTAGAACAGAGCCTAGCACATGGCAGGGGTTCAGTATTTGTTGAGTGAAGGTAGGCTGGGCCCAGGCACCACCAGTTCACCTCATAAGCCTCCTCCACTTGGAAAGCAGCGTGTAGGTGACAGGGGCTGTCTGTGGAGTTGAATGGCCTGGGTTTGAGTCCAGGAGCCCCTGCTGAGTAGCTGTGTGGCCTGGGCTGATTACCTAAGCTCTCTGTGCCACAGATCATGAGAGTACACAGCTCAGAGCAGTTGTGAGGATGCAGGGGAAGCACCAGGGGCAATGCCTGGCACAGACAAGTGTATAATAAATGTTAGCTTTGAACAGTCAGTAGGAGGAAGTCAAAATGACGAGACACATCCCCTCGTCTGAAGGAGGATGAAGTTCTGGGCATGGTGCCACATACGCCAATTAAACACGCACCCAAGAACGTCACAGAGTTTTTAAGGACACAGATGCATCTAAACTAACACATTTAGGAGCATTCGGAAGTAGTGAACTAGTTGTATAGCTAAAGTTAAAAACATAACATTGAGTGAAAGAAGGCAAGAAACAGCATGAGGTTTAGAGCATAGTACCATTTATACAAATTAAACACACAGTACCACCATATATAGTTTAAGGACACAGACATGTCTATAGAAAATTGATTTAGAAGCAGCAGTCAGGAGCAGTGAACTCGATCCACATGTGGGGTAGGGTTAAATTTGAAGAGAGCCAGAGACAGATGAGATGCAGAGCGGAATATCACTTACGCAAATCACACACAGGACCACGGCCAGCACGCGATTTTGAGGGTATAAATACATCTAAGTGAACACGTCAGCAGAACACATGTTAAGTGTGCTTGAGCAGCTGTCCATGGTTGAGGGAAAGAAGTTGGGAGATACGAAGGGAGTAAAATAAAATTAGAAAGGCTTTACGTGAGGGAAGGACTAGGAAGGAATTCACAGCACACTAAGGACAGGGAAGTATGAGGGACTCAATGCCATTCACTGGAGGGTTCACCCTCTTCCCACTCTATATGATTTCCTAGATAATCTCATCCTCTCCTGGGGCTTCAGTTGACAGCTCCTGAGATATTCCCGGGATCTGAGTCTCCCTCTAGACTTCACTCCTGCACTTCAGATGGAGATGGTTAGCTGCCTCCCAGATGACTCGGGCAACAAGTCCGAGACGGAGTCTTGCTCTGTCACCCAGGATGGAATGCAGTGGCGTGATCTTAGCTCACTGCAACCTCCACCTCCCAGGTTCAAGCAATTCTCCTGCCTCAGCCTCCCAAGCAGCTGGGATTACAGGTACCTGCCACTGCGTCAGGCTAATTTTTGTATTTTCAGTAGAGACAGGGTTTCACCATGTTGGCCAGGCTGGTCTCGAACTCCTGACCTCGCGATCCACCCACCTCGGCCTCCCAAAGTGCTGGGATTAAGACGTGAACCACCGTGCCCGGCCTGGGTAACTCTTATTCTTGTCTGAAGTGCACGCCTAGCACGCCAGCTAGGACCAGCTGCCTACTGTCCTTGGTGCTGAACCCACAACCCCCGCGCTTCCATTTTGTGCCCAGCGGCCTATTGTCCCTGGTGCTGAACCCACATCCCTAGCACTTCCCTTTTGTGGACCGCCGCCTGCTGTCCTTGGTGCTGAACACACACCCCAGTGCCTCCCTTTTATGCCCAGCTGCCTGCTGTCCCTAGTGCTGAACCCATATCCCTAGAGCTCCCTGTGTCCAGCTGCTCAATGCCCTTAGTGTTCAATCTCACCCCAGAACTTCCCCATATGTTCCGCTGTCCACTGGCCTTGGTGCTGAATGTTTAAACCAGCAATGGTAAGACCTGGTGGTTTACACACAGAGGTGAAGGCACTGATCTGGTGGTGTGAACACTGGATGGGTGGTGCTACCAGTGCTGAGACAGGGCCTGGGCCTGTCCTGCTCAGGTTGCCTGCGTGTTTGTAATGAATGAGTCACGGTGCCCCACACATGATGAGCATTTTCTACGAGCCAGGCCCTGTGCTAAGTGCTGTGTATACCTGACTTCCCTGAACCCTTGTGCAGTCCCGTAAGGTGGGCGCTAGTAGGAGACCATCTCATGGAGAAGGATAATGAGGCTTGCAGACGTTAACACCCCACAGTGGTGGGGCCAGAGTCCAAGCCCAGGCAGCGTGGCTCCGGAACCCCTGCCTCGCCTGCTGCGTGGACAGTGCGGCACACGTCTGTGCAGCTCAGAGGACTTGGGCTCTGCTAGATGACACTTCCCCTTCCCGCCTGCCCCAGCTGGGCTCTGGGCTTCTGCCCACCTGCAGGGGTTCTGCTGACCCCCCGACTCACTTCTGTTTTTGCTTCATGATGTCCTCAGTGTTAGGAAGGCAGTTTGTCCATGGCAGAAACCCGTAGAGCCACTTCAGCATGCAGTAGCCCAGGCTCTGGAGGTCGCTGCGGCGGGAGGGCCCTGGGAAGGGAAAGGTAGAGGTGGCACCTCAGTCTGGATGCTCCATTCACCAGTGCGTCCACCCCCTTCCTTCCCCTCTCTCACTGACTCAACCACGCGCTCATGCACTCAGCATTCCAGCCATATGGGCTGTCTCCTCTGCTCATTCACTTTCATGAGTAGGCAGAAGCTGACTCTTATTCTCATTCTGACTTACTTTCCACTCAACCATCCCCCCAGCCCCTTTCTTCAGGTCACCCTCATCCACTCTTCTCTCATTCATGCACTCATTCAATCCTCAGCATCCGTGTGCTGGGCTCAGCTGATTTCTGAAAACTCAGACTGGGATCTTATCGGGTCCCAGCCCATGACAGCCTTGTTGGGAGACAGCTATGGTGTGGGACTACCTGAGCGACAAAGGACACAGAACACACGGAAGCCCAGGAGGATGGGTACCAATCCCAGCCTCAGTGGGGAAGGGCTGGGAGACCCGGACGGTGTATTTTCCTTATGCTTCCTCAGCATAAGACAATGCTTAATTTAGACAACGCTTTGTGTAAGCACTCGACAAGCACTACTTGTTGTCCGTGCTGGCCTTCCACCACCCGATGCTGGGGGCAGGGGTACCTTCCCTGCCCTGGAAGAGCTCAGTCTGGTGGGAGGACGTGACAAGCATGTGGACGGCCATGATATAAAGGGATGTGAGAAAGAGGGGCTCAAGAAATCTGCCCCGGGCCCTCTTCCCAGTCTCTACACTTTCCCTGGATGATCCCATCTTCTCCCAGGGCTTCGGCTGATAAACTCCTGAGATACTGCAGAGCCTCTGCCCAGATTTCCCTCCCACATTCCAGACATGGTGGCCAACCACCTCCTCAAACAGCCCCTCCTGGACGACTCCTAGGCAACTCCCATCTTTCAAGTCTACGCCAGATCCTGAATCCCAACCTCTGGAACTCAGGGCTCCCCAGTGCCCAGTCTCCCACTGTCCTTGGTGCTGAACCGCTACCCACCCCCCCCCACCCCCCACAGTGGTCAGGACGCTGTCTGTGGTCCTGATCCGTCCTGGCGCCCTTAGTGCCTGTCCTGTGTGGCCACCTGCTGTCTCTGGCTGTGAACTCCTAGAGCTGCCCTTGTATGAGAAGCATGTCTCTATGGTCCCAAACCCTTCCCTGGCCTCGTACCGCATCCCTTGTGCAGGTCCATGCTAATGAACTCAAGGTCCCCCTCGTGAGGGCTCCTGCTGCCTTCCACGTAGGCCACGTGTTTGCCACTCGGGCAATAGCGGAAGGCGAAGCCATAGCCTGCCAAGGTCACCTGTGGACACAGGGAGAAGCCATACAGATTGGAGGTGAGGAGCACAACTGAAAACAACCATTCCATCAAAGATGACATTTTTCACTTACAAAACTAAGCCATGCTCATAGCAAAAACGATGTGAAGTAAAAAGAACCCCAACCAGCCATCATATTTCCTCCCAGCCCCTAAAACCCACTGCTCAGAAATAACCACTAGTAACAGTTTCTTATGCATCATTCCACATTTTTTTTTTAAATAACCAGGTAACATATATGGATGGGGAGGGGCTCTTGTTTTCCAGAGGCCTCACACCAGACCTGTTGGACACCAGCACTTAACACTTCAATAGCGGTTCTGGGCATTAACTCTGGGGCCAGATGGCCTGGGTTCAAACGCCAGCTCAGCCCGCTGGTGGCGGTACAACCTTGGGCAAGCTATACTACTCTCTGCTATGATTTCTCATTTGTAAAATGGTAATAGTCCCCACCTCAAAGGGTTCTTACGAGGCTTAACTAAGTTTAAAACAAAAGTTAAATGCTTTCTGCCTGATACACAAAGTTAACTAAATCTTCTTTCAAATATATTTATTTATTTTGAGATGGGGTTTCCACTCTGTCACCCAGGTTGGAGTGCAGTGGCACGATCACGGCTCACTGTAGCCTCCTAGGCTCCGGTGATCCTCCCACCTCAGCCTCCCGAGTAGCTGGGACTACAGGCATGCGCCACATGCCCAGCTTATTTTTTGTATTTTTTGCAAAGATGGGGTTTTGCCCTGTTGCCCAGGCTGGTCTTGAAACCCTGGGCTCAAGTGATCCTCCTGCCTTGGCCTCCCAAAGCACTGGGATTACAGGTGTGAGCCACTGTCCCCAGTCCATGTCTTCTTTTCAATGGCTGTATCTTATTCCATCATATGGATAGTGGACAACTGTTGGTTTTGTCTATGTAAGACCTATACACTTCCCCTGCTCCCTGTTTTTCTGTTCAGTTTGTGGTGTTCATTTATATATATA